ATGCGTACTTATAATGTAAGGTTAACCAACATTATAATGTTCTCTCTAAAAATGGTTTATCTACGAGGTACCGAAATAGATGTTGTATTGCTTTTATTCAATTTTTGAACAATAACAGTTTCACGGAAGGCTTTTAGCTTTTCACTTCGGTTATAGGTCAAACAGTACATAGAAGGGTACTGTGTCAATACTATTATTTTTTAAATGTTTTTTTTTTCCAAATACTTTTATGCATATAGCATATTGTTATAAAGAAGTTTGTTCGAACAACACACACCATAATACTTTATAAGAGTAGCTCGGCGTGGCTTAGTGGCTGAAATCAATCAATTTGAGTGATTGAGAGTAAGCAACGGCCTCTGCTACTAGTTCCCGGATGGGATACCACCCGGGTCCATAGTAGAAAAAACCTTCCCACACATACACGCGTTACCAACCAACCATACCAACCGTTTCAGCTTTACCGACCGTTACCCCTGCAATAGCTAATGAGTAATAATGACCATAGTTTCCGAGGTGCGTGACGCTGGCACCCGCAAGTTTGAATTTCAACTCAAAAACCACATCAGTAATTGTTATACAATTTGTACAAATTTGTAACCCCAATTCCAAAATTTGTACACCCCCCAGTCGCCCGTAAAATCCAAAAACAATTTCCGGGTGCCAGCATCACGTGACGCTGGCACCCGGATTTCGTTGTATTTGGCCTATCGACCCAAAAACCACATCAGTAATTGTTATACAATTTGTACAAATTTGTAACCCCAATTCCAAAATTTGTACACCCCCCAGTCGCCCGTAAAATCCAAAAACAATTTCCGGGTGCCAGCATCACGTGACGCGAATATATAGAAATAATGCTTAGATTTTCAACTTCTGTATCTTGTTCGATGGGAAAGTGAATATTGTTGGTGCATTGGGCAGGTCAAAATTCCCAATAGCTTTCAAAAGCGAGGGGAAAAACAGCATAAAAATTAAGGAAAAATGGGAATTTTTACGGAAAAATGGTTTTCCACAAAATTGATATTGGTTTTTGGTCTAACTCTAAAACAAATGAAATTTTCACTGGTCGTTTATATTTGCATTTTCTATACACGATAAAATGTTGAAAATATTTTGACTGTTTTTGGGCTGTTTACTTTTTTTTTCTATAAATATCAATAAAATTGTATTTGTTGGGTAAAAAAGCGTGAACATTTAATGCAACGCTCCTGATATATTGTTACAATAGCAGTTTAAAAACACATGTGCACAATTTTTTTTTATAAGCATTTAAAGTTCAAATTTTGACAAAATTTAATAGTTATTTTGTAGTTAAAAATTTATAAAATGTTCAACTATTATAATAGTTATATATTAGCTAAGGATTGAACATTTAAAACAGGGTTCCACGTAAATAGGTAAATGTTATATTTAAGATATACCTAGGTAGGTACCTACATATTAAATATAATTTTTGCATAAAAATAAGAAAGATGGTAAAAGTTATAGGTACCTATTTAATTATAATTATATTATTCAGTACCTACATTTAATGGGCGAACGGGAATTGGGCCACAATTCACCTTTTTTTACATAGGTATATAGTAATTGGGCCACCAAAATTTTATATTATTTTATTAAAGGTAGGCCCGGTAATTGGGCCACTAAAATTTTATATTTATAATAGGAAGACCCAGTGATTGGGCCACTATTACATTTTAAATTGTAATAAAATAATATTGAAGTCAGATGGTTTGGTTAGGATGTCAGAGCACTATTTGTTTACTCTAAGATTACTTAAAATCATAAAAAAAAGTATTCTGCGTAAATGCGTTTTGTCTATGTTGCGCGTATACATATTTTTATATAAATTGATACAATTCCTAATACTGCAACGCACACGAAACTACTCGAAGCGACTGCGTATGCCTTATCAAAAGGTAATAAATTATACAATATCTTATGATGTAGAATTATCAATTGTCATCAAATGAAATGGATAAAAATAGTCATACGCGTATAGTGTGCAAAGATTATGAAACATTGTAAATTGTGATCGTTTATAGTTGATTAGCAAACTATACGATCGACATCTAGTAGTACACGCGTGGTTCGTACTTCGTAATATAAAGTAGGTGCAATGGAAGTGTTAATGTCCGAAAGAGGAAAAAATTTATTAATTTTTAAGAATTATAAATTTTCTTTTGCTCATGAGAGTCAATGTGGCAAAACTCGTTGGCGATGTGCCAAGAAAACATGTCCAGCCAAAATGTATACAATTTCAAATAATATACAAATGGGTACGTACATGGGTACATACTCGAACTACAAATGCCGTCGAGTCTTTTCGTTCACATTTCAAAAATAATTTCTATATGTCACATCCAAATATACATAATTTTTTAAATGTTTTATTGCAACTTCAATCAGAAGTTTATATTAAGATTAAAAGTATAGGAACAATAAAAACAAGAAAAGGAACTTTAGTTCGACAAAATTTTATTCTTAATGAAATTAAAAAATATGAAGAAGGGGAAAAAACCCGATTTGAATAATATGTACAATCTGTATCATGATATTTAAGAAAAAAAAATTATTATATTAGAAAAAAATTATTTATATAATATTTATATATTTATTTATATTAAAATGAGTATTGGCATTATTTATAAAAATTATTTATTATTATTTATTATTGGACTGACTTTATAGATCGAAATGTCTTGTATTATATTTTCATGTACCTATTAGAAAATGTTTTTTCATATTATTTATTTTTTGACTAACTTTATGGTCCTTATATTATATTTGTAAAATGAGTATTAGCATTCTTTATAAAAATTATTTCATATTTGACTAATTTTATGGACCTTGTTGTATATTAAATTAGTTAAATCTAAAATCTGTATGGAAGTATTTTAAAAAAAATATTAATTATTTGACGAATTGTATTTTTATATGTTAAAACAATAATAATTAGTTAATAAACATTATTATATATTCGTATTAATAGTATATTTGTGTGCTATACTTTTATGGCCCAATCTCCGGGTACACTTTAAAAATATAGATTTAATTTGCGGCCCAATCTCCGGGTAGTAAAATGTAAACAAATATTTTATTCGAATCAGGTAGGTAGTTAAAATGTGGATCAATTAACGGGCGCCCCATTTAATAACATTAATTTAAAACAAAAAACATAAGATAGTAGGAATGCAATAAGAGGTTTAATTACGATTATAAATCGTTTTTGGATTTTACGGGCGACTGGGGGGTGTACAAATTTTGAAATTGGGGTTACAAATTTGTACAAATTGTATAACAATTACTGATGTGGTTTTTGGGTCGATAGGCCAAATACAACGAAATCCGGGTGCCAGCGTCAAGTGATGCTGGCACCCGGAAATTGTTTTTGGATTTTACGGGCGACTGGGGGGTGTACAAATTTTGGAATTGGGGTTACAAATTTGTACAAATTGTATAACAATTACTGATGTGGTTTTTGGGTCGATAGGCCAAATACATCGAAATCCGGGTGCCAGCGTCACGTGATGCTGGCACCCGGAAATTGTTTTTGGATTTTACGGGCGACTGGGGGGTGTACAAATTTTGGAATTGGGGTTACAAATTTGTACAAATTGTATAACAATTACTGATGTGGTTTTTGGGTCGATAGGCCAAATACAACGAAATCCGGGTGCCAGCGTCACGTGATGCTGGCACCCGGAAATTGTTTTTGGATTTTACGGGCGACTGGGGGGTGTACAAATTTTGGAATTGGGGTTACAAATTTGTACAAATTGTATAACAATTACTGATGTGGTTTTTGGGTCGATAGGCCAAATACATCGAAATCCGGGTGCCAGCGTCACGTGATGCTGGCACCCGGAAATTGTTTTTGGATTTTACGGGCGACTGGGGGGTGTACAAATTTTGGAATTGGGGTTACAAATTTGTACAAATTGTATAACAATTACTGATGTGGTTTTTGGGTCGATAGGCCAAATACAACGAAATCCGGGTGCCAGCATCACGTGACGCTGGCACCCGGAAATTGTTTTTGGATTTTACGGGCGACTGGGGGGTGTACAAATTTTGGAATTGGGGTTACAAATTTGTACAAATTGTATAACAATTACTGATGTGGTTTTTGAGTTGAAATTCAAACTTGCGGGTGCCAGCGTCACGCACCTTAGTTTCCGGACTGCAGACCAATTAAACAAAACAAAAAATACTATATAAAATTACAAAACTAATTACAATCATCGTCTATCGACATTTTTATTCAAGGCACAGCCTAAACATTATTAGTAGTATATAGGTTACCATGACGAAGTCGAGGCCGCCGACACTTTAAAATTGAATGTCAATCGGAGCACCTTGTTTCTTTTATAATATTACATTATAAAAAGGTATTTAAACGGTAATACGGTATCAGCTTTATTGTGCATTATAATATGGTAACCCTATAAAACCGCAACAAACGACAGTTTTATTGGATAGGTATCTGTATAGGCTACCTCGCTGTGCAGACGACCGTGTGAGGTCTTCGTATCGTCATGAAACATTCAGGAAACCCAAACCTACACCGTGCCAACGTTGAAAATCCGAACATAAATCTAATCGTTCAATAATAATATGCTGCCCGCTTGCGATTGTACATGTGTTATAATATAGTGCGGAATATATTCTATTCAACACACAAATGTCCAAATTATGTGATGAATATTATAATAAACTGCAGTCAATACCACGCGGTATGTTACTAATTGTTATTGATGATTTTATATGAGTGTTTATAAATTAAAACTATATAGTCAATTCCAAGGTCTTGATAACCAATGTCAACATCGAAATCATTAGAAACTAAAACAATATGTAGGTAGTCAATGAAAACCAAAAATATAAACGAAAAAAAAAATAAACTTATCATAAAATTGAAAATTAAAACTGCATACCTAATAAACTAAAAATTAACTAAACTTGTATTTTTTTAATAGAATTTTTTTTTTTTTTAGAAGATAACCAAAGAATTTAAATGCCCGGAATGTGCTCAAAATGTTTGTTCGCATTCACTACTCATAGATGTTGTTCCGAAAGTGGTAAGTTTTTTTATATTATTTGGAGACAAAATAGTTATATAATATATATAAATTATATATAACTTATATTGAGGAAAAACGTTAAAAACAAAAATAAAAAAAAATAACATGTATTCTAGGTAGTTTAAAATACTTTATACTGTACATTGGGAGCAATTTTTTATTACTAGTGTAATATTATTATATTATGATTTAAGATTAATTCCACTATAAGATTTAAATTGCACTATAAGTGGTGATCGAGTGTCGTAAAATTGTAAATAACGATACTTTGGGTTGATTTTTTTCTTAGTATGATTTAGGCTTTAAATATACCTATTTAAATAATTACCTATAGTCAGGTAAAATACCTAGTTACGTAATAATAATTAAAATAATATGATAAAAATGTAAAAACGACTCTATGGAAATCCCATCAATCTTGGTTTCAAATGTAAGCAACAATCTCACTATTATTTTATAAAAATCAAATGTATATAATGATAATTAACGACTTTTCAACATCATCATAAAATATAAAAATAAAATGTCTTTAAAACTTGTACAACGCGACGGTAGTAAACAAAAGTAGGTAGATACCTCACAACAATAATAATATATCATAATGTCTTAATTACCTATAACAGAATAATGTATCAACTACAAAGCGAAGGACGTCTCACCGGAAAACATTATAAAAAACATCAGCATCATAAACATGCAGTGAAACAATAGTATCAAAAATATTAGATCGTCATCACAGCGCTCGCTCATGAAAAATAATCATCAATTAATAACAGTACTTTTCTTAATAATTGTGTAAAACAGAAAATATATTTAGCCGTTTTAAAAATTGTAAACTACCTATGTTAACTTGACCAAAGAGGTGGCAACTGGCCAGGGGCTGAGGAGGGGGGTATCTTACCACATTTTATTGGGACCTCGATCACACGCATCATTCGACATGTTGTAATTGTCCAACTGGTGACAGTCATATATGATATTTTTATTACTGCTCCGACGACAATTATTAATATAATTAATGGTTTATTTTTTTTTTTATTTCGCAGAACGAAAAGATCGCTACTAAACCGTCTGACCAAGTCCATTTGGCTATGACGATCGACATGGTGGCCAGGTTAACGTTCCCGTCTGCGTTTGTCATGTTTTTGGCGTTCTTCTTCTTCTACTACTCAGTGAATGCCAACAACCGAGCTATATCCGTCGGCACCGATTGAACTAATTACCGACGATCCCAGTGATCTAGATCATACCATAAAAGGCAATCGGGGCATCTTCAACCAATCACCCCTTTCCCCATCACAATCCCTTAGGATGGCCTGATAAAAATACAACCCAAAACGAAGGGTCCACCGTCATGGCCCACCATGTATCACTTATATAAATAAAATATACAGAGTGTCTCACTACAGCGTTTATCTCCGTATTATATTATTTAAATTTAAATTAATATTTTTGAAATGAGATCTCGGAAAACCATTACCAAGTCTGAGAGTAACGATTATTTTAATTTTTTTTATGTCTGGTTTTCCTAAACTTGAAATTTAAATTAAAATTCTTGCTTATGCATTTTCAAGATAGTAAATTCATAAAATCTAATGTTAGTGTAAATATCAGTTGAATTGTTTATTTATATTAAGCAGTACCTATTCAAATAGTTGTGTAAGTTTTAAAATGTATATGAGACATCATTGTAGATACCTGTTTATGTATATACCTACCTAATAATGTGATAATATTAAGTACATTAACATAGTGAACACTCATTATGATATTGAAAGGTAGTAATACCTACATTTTTTGAAATTTTTTTGAAAATATTTTACTTAAAATTGAGTGTTAATTTTCACTGTTCAAGTAATCACGCTGTACTACATTGAATATAGTGCGGTACCTACACCACTGCGGTGGCGTATTTAGGTTTTTGTCTTTGGGGGGGTATGGTTTTATCCAGTAGCCCGGCCTTAAGTTAGGACCCCGAAAACTTTTGTATTTTATATACACATACAGCCTATGGGGGGATTGGTCCCCTTGATCCCCCCCCGTAAATACGCCACTGTACCACTACAATAGTAAATACCTTTTTAGGTCGTTTCACATATTATCATCAGATTTTAGAACATGGGTAGTATAATAATTAATATCTACTCACAAATCGATGTTATTGTTTGACGAAACAAATTATATTCGTATAAGCAACCATATTTTGTAATTTCTGATTTCTGTGTAGGACCTATTTTAACTAAGCCGTACAAAATAATATACTCGGTGGATGTTCTGCTCAAAAAGATCAATCATTAAGTACATGCATATTATATAAATTATTAAGTATAAGTTTAGGTATGCATATTATAATGTAATATTATATGATATAGGTATACACATTACACAGTATAAATCGGAATCACTTTAATTTGTATTTTTTGATTTTAAAAAAAGATTTAGTATTTTATCCAACGTATTATAATAACATGATGTGATTATATGAATACGCTGCAGTCTTATAGAAGTGTACCTACCTTGAAAAATGACAATATTACAATCGATATTTTGTTGTAAACGATTTCGTTATAAAAGCTATTCAGTTGAATATAATATAATATGTATTTTTGTAATAAGCATGTATGTGTGTTTAAAATATAAATCCGTTTTTTTTTCATAAAATTTAGTTTTACGAACTAGACTTTTTATTAGTTTTAATAATAAACAATATATTATATACATACACGCCTGTTTTAAACTTTTTTACACTGAGTAAATAATATTTTATACTGGAGCGTGAGTTGTAATTATTAATTTATATTTTGATATGATATTATATACATGTCGTAATTCATTATAGATACATTTTAGCTGCGGAACAATGCAATTTCCATATAATCGTATACAACCCAAGTCGCAACTGGCGGCGTACGCAAACACACACGCACACACACACGCACGCAAAATAAATAGTCCTGTACATTTGTTTACCAACTGTACCAGTTCGTCAACACGAACTTATTTATGTTAAAAGGCAATAAACATTTTCGAGTACCTACCTACAATACCAGCTACCGTGCGCCACAGAGTCATCAATATATTTATACACATAAATGTATAATAATATATTATTTTACTGCATTGTACCTATATACTAGGTAAGGCCACGAGAGTCATTTGAAATACGTCCCGTTAATGTTTTAAGCAACGTCGAGACGTTTACATAATAATATGCAGGTATTAGCAGTGCGCAGTGAGTTTTTTACCTATGAGGCCTATAAAATGTGGACACCCACCACCTAGAAAACAAAAACCCCATCTATTGAGAGGGCTTAGGGAGCCAAGCTCCCCCCTCCCTCTTAAGTTTATTGACACTCACCAAAATATTTTTAATATTTAAGTGATAGGACTAAATCCTATATTGAAATTATTGAAATGATTTAGCACCATCAAGATTATTCTCTAAATTGCTGGAAAGTTGGAGTTATGTCTATAGGGTATAAATTATAAAAAAAAAAAAAAAATTAGATAACGAAAATTATAATCTTTATAATGTTTAAACTATTTTAAATAAGAATAATATATTAAGTATATTTTATTTTTTTTTAGAACTTTCAGTCTAAACTATTATAATAGGAAGTATAGTTTAAGTATATTATTTTATCACACATTATTCGTATACCGAATTTGTTATAGACTATAATATAGTGTGTAAGCATACGTTTTTAAAAATAATATACTTAATAACTAATAAGTAGTCAAATTAAAAATAATATTACTATATTAATATGCTAACAGGTTTTTAAACATTCCCTAAATTTAAGAATTACTATTTATTATACAATGACAATGGAGGCATGCTGCTATTGGAAATACCTACTAAGTTATACTATTCCAATAAAGGAACCTAATCAGTTTATAAAACATAAATAAATATATTATATAAAATGTATATATAATTAGACATTTACAATTGTATTTTATTATGAGAGATTTTGAATTCAAGCAGCTAACCATCTAATTGTAAATCATGCATAAAACAAAAACAATCAATGTATTTTTAAAAAACCCCTCTATTATGGTACCTTTTATTTTATTTTTTACTAATTTATGTACCTATGTAGCAACATTTTAATAAAATCATGCATTTTAAAACTGTATTTTTATACACTAAAATTTCTAAAAATAAAAGATTTTTTTCCAATTTTCAAGTGATATTTTTTCTTTTTAAAAATAACAAATGAAAAACGTGTCTCTAATAAATATATCCCTGAAAAAAAATAGTAGCTATCCGTGCTTGTAGACCAAATCCAGTTTTAATTAGCTCTTTACCTAAATTAATACAACACTTAATTTATTATTAAATAATTTGTTTATTCTTCAGTCTTCACAACTAAATGAATTAGTAATTAAACTTTGAAAGCTTTTTACTGAAAAGTGAAGATACAGATATTGATCCAAGTGCTTTGTAAGTCATAAATAAATTTGGATATGCATTTCAAAGGTCATATAAACTAACTAATATCTTAAGAATTTATGCTGTACCGTATTGCGAAGACGTCTTGCTTATTTCAGAAACGCCAAACATTTTGGATAAGACTTCGTGGACTACAAATAAAATAATTTGGACTAAATTTAATGATGAAATATTCATAGCATGTTATAATATATTATGTTATGTTAGTTTGAATATTAAACTAACATAAGCCAATTGGTACCACCAACAATAATATATGAAGTATATTTCCTGAAATGAATATGTTAAATTTCAAGTAGAAAAACGGTACTAAAACTAAGATCGACCAAAAAATCATGTTTAGAAGACAATAATAACTAATAAGGATATGACGGAATAAATTTCTCCACTTGTTTGACGCAACTTTTCTTGAACCAATCTCCTGTGTTGAAGAAGCTGATTATCATTTTATGCTGTTGACTAAATATATGTTTGAAAAAGGTGTTCAAGTGGATGTCGCTCTGCTGTGAAGTGGGTTACAAGTGGGTCACTGTAGTGGATATGGTGTTAAATATGAATCCAATGATATAATATAATTGTATACGAAAAACTATTCTGAGCGAAGACGGTCAGTCAGCCTACGATACTAGTAATTAGTATACTACTATAAGTATATTTTATGATATAATTGTAAATTAATTAATTTGTGTGGAACCTTGTTTTAAATTTTCAACTTTTTTTTATTTAACTTTCTACTTTTTGGTTACGTTATGTATACCTATACCTATAACCATTACTTATGAACAAAACAAAGCTCCAAGTAAATAGGTTATATACAAATTACTTTATTCACAATAATATCATCAAATATACTTAGTAATGTCATAGGCTGTCTTGGCTCAGAATCGTTTTTCATATAATGATATCATTATTCATTGGATTAAAATTTAACAACATCCATTACAATTACCCACTTGTAACCTACTGTTCAGCAGAGCAACACCCACTTTTTTATATTACCTCTAGATATATTTTATGAAATCTTACTGTGAACATCCAGATTCCAGAGTATTATCCTCGTCTGATTTGGAATTTGTTATTCATCCGTAAAAAAAATTTAACTTTAGTTTGCAGTTGGTGTTACTGTCAAAATTATTCGCTTACATTGTTATATCTTATCAGAATAGATACTATTCGCCAGTTTAAAAGCTGTCCTCAAACACTCATATTATTCTTAAAACAATGTAAGTTGTTTTATTTCTTTTAACATAAATATGTTAATACATATTTATAATAATATAATTGGGGACGAGGTGGCCGAGCGGTCTAACGCGTCGACTGCGGCGCTGGCAGTCGCGGGTTTGACTCTCGACCACTGGGCGGCATTTTTCTCCGGTCAAGTCACGGTGTCCGGAGTACAAATGCCGCCATCCCCCACCCCGGGGCATGGAAGAAACCTACGGGTGCCCCAATAAAAATTCTGAAACCACAAACATACTCGTGTACCAACCTACCCAATCTAAAAACCTACAGTTCCCTCCACACACCCAATGGCCTATGTTGCCGCGGGTTATCCAATAAAAAAAAAAAAAAAAAAATATAATTATTATTAATATAAATTATATTTTTGTAAAGTAATACATTTAAGTAAAAGAAAGCACTATATTATCTAATATTAAATATATAATATATATATTATAAGCATATAGGTAAACCATGTAACGTTTAATGTTGTCAGAAATTATCACTGCAGCCTGCAGGGCTGAATATAGGGTATAG